GTCCCAATATGGCTTGGTCGGATTTTACGGATTGGACAGCTCGGTCGGCTCGAACGGCTCGTCTCTTCGTTCTCGACAAGTTGGACCTATTCAACACTAAAACAAAAGAAAACGCGCAAAAATGCGAAAACACTATACAATAACAAAAATACACAAAACACGATAAAATGGACCGGTCGACACAAAAACAAGCCTAAAACTATATAATAAAGCACACAAAACACATGAAAATAACGACAAAAACACAACAAACAACTCCCCCACACTTAACTCTTTGCTTGTCCTCAAGCAAACAAAATAACAAGTATTTATAAGATAAGGTAAAAGAAAAACTCAAGCCCCTTTTAAGCCCATTCACACATACATCTTTAAGGCTTTTACATCCAACGGGCTTTTACATTAAAATAATACACATGTAACAAATCAAATGTGACCGCGCATGGCCCAATAATAATAATATTTTATCGACTTCGATCGATATTTGTCTTGTCAGCAATTATCGTGTCTACTGAGGCGTCTTCTTTATGATATTCGTCGGCTTCTTTATGATATCTTGGTCGGACTAATGATGTTAGATTCTGCTTGGTTGCTTATCTCGAATACGGACAATCTTGACTTCTGGGAACTCGATTAATAATAATACATAAATCGAAGAACCTGCTATTTTATGTTTACTAGTAAAGTGCACGTGCGATGCACGTGGTGTCGAATAATTTTCGCGGAGTAAGTTTGTAAAATAAATTAATTTATTTATTAAACATATCATTGCATAAATGAAGTAAAATATATAAAAAATGAACTCATATGTGATTTTTTTTATTTAGAATTAACATAATGATCTCCTCATATAAAAATGTTTGGATTTTTCAAAACTTCATGGACATGCAGCAATTGATTCTGAGTAGCTTTATCAAGATCTGAAGCAAATTGTGCAAAGGAGGGACGTTCTGGAGGGGAACCTATTAAAGCTACAGGATGGACAAGAATTTCATTGGCTCCTCCGACTCCCGAATCTGACCGACCGACATGCAGATGTTCGTCAGCGCGCGACCGGCGAAGGATACAAGGGCGAGGCTCTGACAAGACCAGGTTCAAAGTGGGAGTAGATCAGTCTATCCTCAACCTCCTCAGCCTTCCTGTGATCGAGTGATGCTACCACCTATCGTACGACAAACTGGATAGAGATGCTTTCAAATAGGATTCTAGCGATCGGGCTGGAGAAAGTCAAAGAGAGAAGATGGTAAGCAGAAGACTTGCGTCTACTAGGGTTAGTCGCTCAGTGGCAACTTCTCAATTCGGTGAGTTCGCTTCCCTTTTGATGTATATCGGTTGTTTTTCTCTTCTTGAGCTTTTGATTCCTTTGAAAGAGCTACCTATCCTCTCCCGGCAACAAGCCAGAAGTTTGTCCTTCGCTCATACGCTCCATCCTCGGAAAGGAGGTCAATTACATCGAGCCTTGACTGACTCTGAGACTCAATCTTTTGACTTGGATTGGCATACTGGGGTCAATTCCACCCTATCCTCTTGAAGCACCCAACTTCCTTTGCTCTCAAGCCTTCAGATGAAGTTTCAGTCTAGAGTGAGGCTCTTTCCCCACTAATATGCGGATTCTTCTTATGCTATTGCTATGGCGGTATACGCCATGGGCTGGGAACAACGGTAAACGTAATCCTCAATGGAAAGCAAAAAGGAAGAAAAAATCCGCTTTGAAAGCGATTCCAAAGAACATAAGAACGACCAGGTGCAAACAAGGCCAAAGGAAATGGTCGAATCGTTCGAAATCCGGTACTTTAAGATCTAAGGCGGAACGCTCCCCTACCGATGTATTTCTACATCCCACAGCTTCGGCAGATCGCTTAGCCCCGTTCGATCGAAGCCCCGGTGAACGGCGGCCGTAACTATGACGGTCCTAAGGTAGCGAAATTCCTTGTCAGGTAAGTTCCGACCTACACGAAAGGCGTAACGCCGAAGAACATCCTTATAAAAGAATGAATGGGAAGCAGGTCTAGTGAAATAACGTTTTACAAACCCCAACAAAAATATATATAAAAAAACAAATTCCTAATAAAAAAACACAAAGATTTCCTTTCATTTTAGTTTTAACGTTCTCATAAGAACATTCATTGTCGTTGGAGTCCAATACATCAATAATATTGCAAAATTCCTCTTAATTAATTTGGCAAAACGCCAATTTTATTCAAACACTTAAGAAACATTCTGACCCGACATATTCATGATTGTATGATCTTTATAACAAGATACTTCTACTAACAAATGATAAATATCTCTATGAAATAACTAACGGTGTCACTAAAATTGCTGATATTTTTTATCACTGAAAAAACTACTACATTCCTCTATCTCTAGATATATTGTTGTCTACACCATTGATGCATCGCCCTACGAGGTGAGAATGAATTTTATCTCCAAATAAAAGTTGACTTCACAAAATCTTGGTTACATGTACTTCTCCCGAGGTGCTAAATTATTTTTTGAAATCATCATACATTACCTGAAAGTACATCTAAAGTAATTGCACATATGTTCAAGCACAATACACCAATGAGATTATAAATATTTCTATAAAAAGTGACAACTTAATGCTAACATTCAAAACTGTTTTGATACTCCTACATTTCATTTTCAGTGTTATTTATCTAGAATATAGACGAACAATATAATCTATTTTTTGCAATGCTCAAAACAAAACAATGAGAAAATATTGAGAAGCATATCATTTGTTAAAATATTTGACAACAGAAGAATTAGAATTTCATTATATAACGATACTTTTAGTCATTTGTTAAGTTTATTATTATTGAGTCATGATTAAAATATACATCATGTATACAAATTTTTAGATTTTTTAATTATTTAAAATTGAAAATAAATAATATATTATCATTATTTATGAGAACCAATTTCTTACAGAGTCCATGTATTTAAACACTACCAACAAAAAAGTAGTAATTTTAAAAGACTTTTTGTTTGTAAATATTGGTATTCATACTTTTCTAAGAAAATTAGCATGTTTTCTTTTTCTCAGTGCATTACTATTATATTATTTGTTTCTTATTCTATAGACAAATAATATTTTATTTGCTAAGTAACTAAAGCACATTTATACGTATTATGTTATTTTTTGTATGTGTTTTATATAATGATGGTATCAAATTATCTTATTTATTATGTTACAATTAATATAATCACATAAGATTAAATGTAATTTAATATATTTGATAAAATTGTACTTTTTATACGAATTATTAGATTAAAAAGTTTTAGAATTTTTTCCAATGTTTGGTAAAATATTAATTGACTAAGTCATTTTCATAATCACTGAATACATATATGGTACCACCATTATAGGGTTCATTTTGCAGCAGTAATTGACTTCACATAGCTAATGTTATTTCATTTCTTTTCTTTGGCCTAACCTTTTCTTTTATCTATGACTTCACATTGCTTCGCTTCGTTTGTACCCTAAGGTGCATTTGCCATAATTTCAGCATTACGACAAACTCGTGTCAAACATATATTGAATTTGGGTGCTCTAGCCAAAACGTGGGAACAGTTAGAAGTTTACACACATTTTTTTACTTTTTTTTTTATATGAATTGTTTCAAATTTATGTATGCAACACATACCACAAGTTTATCTTATGTTATTTTATACTTAATAAAATTGATTTAACTTGAATATAAAATTTATTATATAATATACTTCAAGATTAATTTATTATTTTTAATTAGTACTGATATATATATATATATATTATTTTTTATCAATATAACTAATTATATTATTTTTATTTTATTGCAAAATAGGTGTCAACTCAAACATCACTGAAAATAAATGATGTGATATATTACATATAAAAAAGGTAACAAATAAAAAATATGAAGTATTTTAAACATAAAAAATTTAATGATAGAAAGTAATAAAAATCTTAACTAAAAAATTTTAAGATTAAAATACCCACTTTTCAAGAAATATACATATGAATATATATATATATATATATATATATATATATATCCTCCCTATATATAATTCCCGAATGCGCTGAGCCTACGTGGCTGCTTCTGGTGCTTCGGAGTCCTATTTGGCGAAAAATCATGCTTCGTAATTAGGTTTGGATAAATAATATTGATATATTAATAATTAATAATCTAGGTTCGGGTATTCCATAATTATTATTTAGCTAACTTAGGTATTTTAATATCACTTTTACTAATATAACCCTTTAATTTTTTGTAATTTTACATAGTGAGGCATTAAGTGACTAATATATCCCTGAATTTTGATTTGTTTCCTTCAATAAGCTATTGAATTATAAATGTATTTTAAAAGTTGATAACTTTTGTAATTCTTATCGGTTTTACATAAAAAGTTGATAACTTTTTGTATTAAATATTTAATCATTAAATAACAATATTTATCACTCATTATAAATTTATTTCGTTTTTATTAAATATTTCATTTTTATTTAATCATTAAATATTTCATTTTTATTAAATTAAAAAATAATTTTTATTAAATAAAAAAATATAATTTTTTCTTTTTCTTTTGATTTTTCCTTTTTCTTTTTAAAGCTTTTTATTTTTCTTTTGATTTTTTTAATATTCTTTTCTGATTTTGTAAATCGAAAACAATTAAAGGACGAAAGTGCAACGAATGTAAAGTTAGCGGACGGATAGTGCAATTTTTCTGATCTGACTAGGCGCCACCTCGTGCCACATCATGCCGAGAATAGAAATTCCGATCTAACTGGGCGCCACATCAGCTATTCCGGCGAAAATGAGCACCAGAATGTCATTTTGGACTAAAATTACCAAAAAAAAAAGTTAGTGTACCAATTGTAAACCGAAAACAATTAAAGGACGAAAGTGCAACAAGGCTATAGTTAGTGGACGAATAGTGCTTTTTCCGAGATTCTTTTATTAATGGCAGAGATGTGTGCCTTATTAATGCATAAGTAGATTTTGTGGATTACTAAATTAGATCCAACTGATGGCAATTGGAGTTCGGACAACATGTTTCCCATCGCACCATTTAATTTCCCCAAACTCATGTGTGTTGGGCTGCATTGGTCCGGTCATCTGGAACGTGACCGTATAAGACCTCGTCTGATATTGCTTCCAGAAAGTCAACATCCTTGGGGCCACGTCAATTTTAACTGAGCTGCTCTGTGAGAAGACGGATACCTTGTACGTTGACCGGTATGATTCGACGTTGGTAACCGTTCTCTTGTGTGTGACCACTGTTGTAGTGTTGATGTCGGCTGACACTTGGACGGCGAAAGAGGGGTAGTTCAATTCGGTCGCGCTGTATGTCTTGTTGAAGTCGCAAGTGAAATTTTGTCGTGTGACAATCATGATCTGTTCTGGCGTGTACTTGATGGCACAAAGGAAATTCAAATAGTCCTCGGTGGTCAGATTATAGACTAGGCCTGGGACGAGGGCAGAAAGGGGGTTCACGTGCCCGGCTCCATGTTGGAATGGTGTGGATGCATTGCCCGTTGATTCATCTATCATTGGGCTGCCTCTCATGTTGGTCGTGTAGGCGGTGGTCATGAGGGCCGAGCGGATGGCTGCTGGGCTCCACTCCGGGTGGACTGCCTTGAGCAGAGCTGCCACCCCGCTGACGTGGGGACAGGACATGGATGTTCCTGATGCAATGTTGAAATCGACCTGGCGCGTGTCAAAGCTCAGCCAGGTAGGCCCATTGGCCCGGGACCATGCGGCTATGATGTTGTAGCCTGGCGCGATCAGGTCCGGTTTCAACAACTCAGGGCTGATTGGGGTGGGGCCTCTCGAGCTGAAGGAGGCGACATTGGGCGATGACTCGAAACTGATCCTCGTTCCTCCGAACATGATCTTTGCTGTAGGGTTGGGATTGAAGGATAGATAGTTTCTCATATTGTCTCCTGCCTTGCGGCCGACATGTGCGGCAGGAACAAAGTGGATGTCAGGAATCAGGTCTTCACCATTGGTGTTGGCCAGAACCATGCCGACCCCACCGGCTTTCCTGACCACCTCGCCCTTCTCGAGTCTGGAATTTATCCCACGGTCACACAGAACGATCTTACCCTTGACCTTCATCGGAAAGAGGGTGCCATTGAGACAAAAGCCGCTCCCGTTTTCGCTTACTTGCCCAGCATAAACAAAGGGAGTATATGCATATGCTGATGCAGCAAGAGGCCACGGAGGTCCACTGTTGAGAGATGAGCCGTTGTAGGTTTCGCCGTTGCCGAGCTTGACGTAAGCAAGGAAAGCTCGATCTATGGTCCCGGCACCAACACTGGTTACCCAAGGGGCCGCGTTTCTCACGCTGGATGAATCGGGCCCATCGTTCCCCACAGAGCAGGAGACGAAGATGCCATTGGCAGCGGCGGCAAATGCTCCGATCATAGGGACGCTTCTGTAAAACGGGTAATCCGCTGGGGGGCCAAGAGACATGGACAACACGTGAACCCCATCACTGATGGCCGTGTCGATGGCCATAAATAAGTCGGAGCCGAAACAATTGCCGTTCCAGCAGGCCTTGTACATGGCAATCCTGGCCCGCGGTGCCATCCCGCGCGCCGTCCCGTATGCGTACCCGAATAGGCTGGCACCGTGGACGATGGATCCAGCAGCAGTGGATGAGATGTGGGTCCCGTGGCCATCGGTGTCCCTTGGCGATCTCAGTTCCTTGTTCCAGTCGAGAGGTATGTCGGCACCCTGCTCATAGCCTTTCGCAAAGTACCTGGCCCCGATCAGTTTCTTGTTGCACAATGATTCATTAAACTCACATTTTCCTCGCCAGAAACTCGGGATGGGCCCGTAGCCCGTGTCGCGAAAGCTCAGGCTCTCAGGCCAGATGCCAGTGTCGACCACCCCAATCACTATACTTTGTTCTTGAGAAATGGGCCTCATGTACTTGTAATGGTGCTCCAGTCTGTCCAGACCCAGAAATGTTGGGGTCCAGGTCGTGTGGAGCTTGTGTATCGTGTCAGGCTCCACGGCCAGGACCCCTTCCTGGGCGGCCATTAGTTGGGCCTCCTCGTTGGTGAGGCTGGCCGAGAACCCATCGATCACATGTTCATATGAGTAGAGCATCTGGGCGGAGCTCGACACTGACTTGAGCGATGATGCATACCACAGTCTGTGGTGTCCGTATTTCACAGGCTTTTCGGATTTCAACATGTGGATTATGTAATTCTTGGCCGCCATTGACACATGACAAATACACAAAACCACTATAATTCCGACTATTAAAAATCCATTTTTCTTCTTCATTTTTTTTTTCTTTTCTTTTTTGGGATTTTTTTTTTCTGGTTTTGATTGAGAAGATTATCTTGGAAGGTTGTGATTTGATGAACATATAGACGGGGGGTTATGAGTTATGAAATCATGCTTGATTCAAACTAAAATATTAATATTATTTTAATTTGCTTATTCTGATCTAGCCGCCATAATTAGTAGTTGGACCATAATGTGAAAATATCATAACACTAATGATAAAAAAAATATTTGGACATCTATATGATAGATGCAAAATACAATTTCTTTATTTTGTTAGGATTTGGAGTATCTACGGTGATATGCGATATCATACCACTCATCAGGTCATCTAAAACTTCACAGTAAGCCAAGTAGTTCAGGTAGACCAATAAGTTGACTAGTGGTTGGACGGTAACGCCCCGAATCATTTTATATATATGAGGTCGACTTTAGTTTCATAAATAACAAGTTTATTTATTTCTAGTTCTATTTATTTTTCTTGCATTAAATTAGAGTTATAAATTCAAAGTCTAAGCCATGGAAGATCCGTTCGATTTTTTGTACCGACATCGAGTTTGTCGACTAGCCTAAGTATTGGTTCATTTTTCTAGAAAAAATGGTCGTGACCTTGGTCATTTTATCCCGAATCGAGCGTTAGAAAAATCGAGAATTTTAAATTAGTTTTCGAGCCAATTTTAGTTGAGAAAATTATGCCTAGAACGAGATCCTCACAAAATATTTGCAAGTATACTGCTATAATATTTTATTAGCAAAATTAGAAAACCTATCCTAAATATTTGCAAATCTACAGAAGTTACTAGTTAACATCTATTTCTCTTTCATCTCACTTTCATTTTTTTTCTTCTTTCCCCGATTTCTTCCCCCCTTTCTTTTTCTTCATATCTCGGCGATGTCACTGTTCAGTAGCAATTCATCTTTCACCATGAGAGCGAAAGTGAATCATCTCATTTGCCTCTTGATTTTTGGGGTCATTGTGTTCTTGCAGCTGGGTATTAAATTAATCGCACGCCTACTTCAGTTTTGTCCGGCAAATCTCCTTATGAGATGTTGTATGGAAAGTCTCTTGTGTTTACACATTTACGAGTTTTTGGATGTCTCTGCTATGTGCATAATCAAGGCACAAATGGTGATAAATTTGCAAGTAGAAGTCGTAAATGCGTATTTGTTGGTTATCCTGCTGGACAAAAAGGATGGTGTGTGTACGATTTGGATAGTGGCTCTGTCTCTCATGATGTTGAATTTTGTGAATCAGAATTTCCTTATATGATGCCTTCTATGCCTACCACTTCACCGGTTTCTACTAATTTTTGGCCCGCACCGTGTGATGATATCGATGATACTGTGCCACATACTGGTCCTTCTGAATTTGGGACGCCTAGAAGCGTTGA